GCTTATGGTTGACAGTCTACATGAAGTGATCTGCATATTAGTAGATTCACAGCTCACACTATCCTAAAATTCCTGACAGGTGTATTGTGTCCTGACCTCATGTAACACATTTATAAGAGACACCACATGCCACCTGACTACAAAATATTTATCTTTTGTTTTTCAGCCCCAGTTTTCAAAAGGAAATATTTATCTTAGGACAATAACTCTGAAACTGACAGTTCCCACACATTCGCTTTACTGTGACATTTCAGACTTATCACAAGCTGTCACAGCTGGTCACTACCTGTCAGAGGCAGCCACAACCAGGTGGAGCCAGTCACGTTCTTTAATCTCCCTATGTTGATGCAAAGATTAAAACGTGCTAAAATGTAGGCTTAAGGTTTTCTGGCCTAAAAGTTTGTGCAAATAAACCTAGATCTATCATCCACCATAAAAGAAGGAACTGAGTTGTTTTTCAGTTTTTTCATCTTCATTCACATATATTTCATGATTTCACATCCTTATGAAGACTTGCTTTTTATTTTAAGTGCCGAACTCATCAAGCAGAAAATGGAACCACCCAATATAGCTCAAAAATCAAGCACTGTGTGTCACCTACTTTAGTTATTATCCAGAGAGTTTGTGGGGTATATCATTGGATTTTTCTCCATTCGAGGTTGAGAAGTTTTGCTGCTGCAGTGACTATGAACTCTGGCTCATCTCCAGAGTCTGAGGTAGCTGTCCGAGATAGGAGTAGCAATATTTCTATGCAGTACTATCAGAAAACACATTCTTCTGTAAACAGCAGAATATAGGTTTTCTGGCTATAAAATCAGCCCAAACTCTTTGTTTTAGGTCATTTAAGGTTACCAAAATAGTATTCAAATTCCTAAAACCTGAATTTTTTGTTTTTATTCTATTAATTAAAATATGAACTTTACATGCAACAATAATATAATGTAATAAAGCAATACACAGTATGTTTTTGTATTTTATACATTTGGAAAGGCCAGTATGACAATATGATGGCTTTGCTACCTTGCGATAGGTTAATTTTGATGAACACAAAGCTTAAATATGCTAATTTAGTGCCTTTATTCACAGTGAAACAACTCTGTCAAAATTACTCAAAAGGTACCAGGAAAGAAGGAGTACAGTTTGCAAATGATTAAAGTTAACAAAGGCTTTTGTTTTTGGGGCATTATCTGACAAAGTTACATCTGTTCTGTCAGGAGCTGCTAGAGGGAAATCTTATACATATGAGTCACATATTATGGTTTTAAAGACAATGCAACAAAATTCTAAGAAACTGTCTGTTAGCTACTGAATTTAAAGAAAGTTTTCCCTCTCATTATTTTTTGCATTTGCAAATATAAATAATTTTTTATTCCTAATTGTTCTAAGAGACAAGTTAAATAAGTCCAAGAGAATGTTGGTTTGATGGTGGAAAGAAGCTAGTTATTAAACCTTTTATACACTATCTCTAAAAAAAAAATCTGGTTTGATCACCACAGAGCTTCCATCATATCAAAAGCACTTCAGTGTGTATGAATTCTATGCTTGTTTTTATTTTCTGTCTTCAGTGCCTAGATTTCATTGGCACAATGTATTTAGTGCTGAAGAAAGTCACTGTTTTTGCCCACCTCCTTTACCTTTCCCATGTTCATGATTTATTTAGCACTTCATGTTCTTAAGGAAGGGTTTTGGTAGAGATAACATGGCACAAAGGAGTAATTACTAAGAGGTGTGCATAGACATATGTGACTCAGTTGACTTGAAAATAATATAACTAATGTCTGTCCCACTGGTAGTGTGAAAACAGCTTTACTTCAAGCTATACTCTAGCTATTACAGCAACTCCCAGCTCCTATCTTAATAGGGTCCTGAGGCAACAGACCAGATGTACAAACTGAGGAAAACACGTAATGTCAAAGAGGGATTATAATGGACATTTTGCTCTGAGGAAGTTCTTTTTTTCTCGGTTACTCTGCATTTATCACCACAGTTGCATGCTTATTCAAGCACTGTATTTGGCATGAGGCATTTATCCAGAAAGAAAGATGATTGACCATTTTAAATGTTGCTACACATTATTTTGCTCAGGTTTCTATATCTTTTCCTGCTCTCAGACATAAGAAAGAGCAAGATACCTGTTCCAATATTGTAGTCCAACAAAGAAATTTATATATAAACTGAATTGATATGCAGAAAAATGTATTAAAGGAATTTAAATCAGTGAATTTTATACGGCCTGTATTCACTTATCGATCTCCTCCTCTGATACATGTTTTCCTTGCTTTCACCTAACAACATTGCTAAACTAGTTGGTTTTTCATTGCTTTACCCACTTTTTATTTCAAAACATGCTTTTGTGTCTAGTGAGAAGCCCTTTAGTTCAGTGTTTATATCTGCAGAGTATAGATGCTTTTTTAGTTGGTAAGGATTATGACGCATTTCTTTAGGAGGAACATAGCTAGAGGCAGAAAGATTCCCTCCAGCACTTTGACAAAGGTATCTAGTGAGTTTTATCAGCTTGTTTTTCATAAGAGCAGTAGAATATGATTGTATATGTATATATATATATATATATATATATATATATATATAT